GTGTTTCCCACAGTGCAGGATGCTGATTTTTGTCCAAGATGTGAATGACTCCAGCTTCAGAGCTGTGCTGATACCCTGGAGACGTCCTCCCAGAGTGGAAGGTGGTCAGTGGCAACTGGAACCTCAGGCCTTCCAGGGGAGAACTGGCCCACGTGGGGGTGGGAGTCAGGACTGAGGATACAGGCACTCAATATTCTGAAGATCACAGCTACCCAGTTACTTCATCCCATTGAACGAGATCATTCTGGAATTCTGTATGCTTCTAGGCTGAGCATATACAGGCTCATATTCATAGAGGGAGGCTCATAATATTGGTGGGGATGGACTAGACAATATCCTGATTGTAGGTGAGCACTTTGTTACTGTGTCCTGTCTGCAGCCTAGTATGTGACCTTTATTTAACCTGTTCAGATTGTTTTCTCATCTCTGTGAATGTCTGGGCTCCAAGACTTCCCCATCTCTCCTTCTCCCACAAAGGCTTAGCACATGTTGGGTACTCCTGCAAGTGCCCAAGGTTTGCAGATTTGCCAGGGCTGCCACATTTGACAGATAATGGATCCCCTACCCCTGCCTATACTACTCCAGTTAAATTTTGCCTAGTTGAATGTTCTGCATCCGGTGCTGCTGCTGCCAGGTGGGAAATGGAAGTGCACACTCCAGGGCGGAAAAGGGTGAAGTGCTCAGGGTCAAAGGAGCTCAGGGCTGAGCCAGGTGGCAATGAGAGGGCCCTGCCTGACTTGGGCAGGTTGGTGACTACTTCATGAGCAGCGAGGAATGGAGGTAGCTGAGAACTCTGAAACTGAGAAAGACAGAGGTGGGAGCCTGGTTTCAGCCAGGCAGACAAAAATGGCTGCTTTGAGAACCATTTGCTTCTGCAGACGGGCACTGTGGTGGGCAGAGCAGTGCTAGGAAGATGGTGGCAGTGATCTGCCCTGAATGGCGATGGCTCGAAGTGGCCAGCAGCCCAGAGGGTCTAGTGACAAATTCTTCAAAGAGAAGGGGAGTGAGAAGCCCATCCTTCCCCAGAATAAATGACAAGTCTCAGCTGGAATAGGTGATGCTGGCCCCCTTTATTTCATGTGACAGGAGACTTAAAAACCTTGGGCAGTTTGAAGGGTGTTGAGAGGGAATATGTTTGATTTGCTCGAGCTAGCTTATCTACATACACTACTGCAGTCCTATCATAGGGGGAAACACAGTACTTAATATTCTATGGTTGGGGTAAGAATTCCAGGTATGGTTAAAGGCCATTGGTTAAAAGCCAAGACGGCAAGACATCTCATTAGCATAGGGTGGGTGTTTCCAGGAATCCCCAGGTTCTTGCTGGATGGGTTTCTTCTCAGGAAAGGGTTTCTCATGTAATCTCCCTGAGGACTAGGTGATGCTCCTTAGAAGATCTGGGGTTCCCCAGATCAGGTGGAGAGGGAACCCAGCGAAGAAAGGAAGTCCATAATCTTATACCAAGCTCAAAGGCTAACCGGAAATGCCAGACCTCAATAGCAGGGTCCCACAGTTGAGGGTGTAGGGCAGCATTTCCCTTGGCTGAAAGCAGTGGGTGTTAGAAAAGTGAGCTCATCCTTCAGAACTTGTCTGCAGCTGTTTTCATGTGGCTACTCAAAGAGGGCACTGCAGGTCTTATACTTGTTAGAGTGGAGAGGGAGTTCGTTCTAATCCGAGGCAGCTGACTGGCTCACCAAATGACTTGACACTTTTGGTGTCCACTAGAAAGATGAGAAAGTAACCAGCCCAGCCGTGGCTCTGTGGAGCAAAGGAGGGCTGTAGGGAAGTTAAAACAGAAGAAATGCTAGAGCCCAGTGTTGCCTCACGACCTTAATTCAGCACCTGAGAGGCAGACGCAGGAAGAGGGAGAATTCCAGACCAGCCTGGACTACATAGAAAGACCCTGTCTCTAAAAACAAAGAAAGGAGGAGCAATACTGACAACTATATTTCCTCTGACCAGTTACAGAGGATGGGGGATAAACTTTTACTTTTCAAACCATATTTTATGAAGAATGCATTCTAGGGGGGGTTGCTCTCTTCTCCCCAGCCACCCCTGTGGCAGTAGTGTGTGGCAGTAGGAGGCAAAAGCACCTCCATGGAAGCAAAGCAACGCCTTTTGATTCAAGGGCTTGTTCTTTTTTTTTTTAATTTAATCTATTTTGTATGTGTATGAGTGTTTGCCTGCATGTATACATGTGTACCACACGTGTATCTGATGTCTGAGGTGGATAGAAGAGGATGTTCCTGAAATTGGAGTTACATGTAGTTGTGAGCCACCATGTGTGTGCTGTGGATTGAACCCAGGTCCTCTAGAAGAGCAGACAGTGTAGCCCCCAAAGGCTTGTTCTTAAGTTGGATTCTTGGACTGAGATTGTGTGTGTACTCTGCCCCACAGTTCCCTTTCTCAGACCAACTAGGTACCCATATATGGATTTAAAGGAATGCCAGCCAGCAGTCATCTGAGCCATCAGGTTTAATAATCAAGAAAACGTTGATAAGGGGCTAGAGAGATGGCTCAGCAGTTGAGTGCTTACTGCTCTTTGAGAGGACTCAGGTTCTATTCCCAGCATTCATATGACAGCTGATGACTGACTATAACTCTGGTCCTAGGGGATCCAATGCCTTTGTATGGCCTCCACACAGGCAAAACACCCACACACATACAGTGGATAAAAAGAAAATGTTGATCAGATGGGAAAGAAGGATGCCAGCAGTTGAGACTGAGGGATGGAGGGAACTATCCTCAGTGACCAGAACACAGCCTGCCGCTGAGAGCTGCAGCACACAGTGCCTTGGGCAGCAGCTGAGATCAGAGCATGCCTGCACTCTGCTTCTGAGGCAGGAGCCCTTTTCTGCAGCACGGGGAATAGTGTGGATTCTGTGCTGCTCTGACTCCTCTGAAAACTGAAAATTAAAATTTGTTAGTAACATTTTTTTTTTTTTTTTAAAAGAAAGAGTTTTACTAGGTAGCCCAGGTTGGCTTTGAACTCTCAAGACTTAACTCAGTCTCTTCAGTACTGGGATTACAAGTACACAACACCACACACACTTCCAGGCTGGAACTGTTTTATTTTTTCCCCTGAGACAGTTTTCTGTATAGCCTTGGCTGTCCTGGATTTGTTTTGTAGTCCAGGCTGGCCTCAAACTCACAGCAATCCAACTACTCTGCCTCTCCCAAGTGCTGGGATTACAGGCGCGTGCCACCGTGCCCAGCTTGGCTGGAACATTTTTAATAGCACACTTCATGTGCTAGGAGTAATGGGAGGTAGGCATGATACTAGGGTAAGGGGAATGGGTAAGATATAACTTAATAAAAGTAAGCATAGGAAGGGAGGGGCTGAGAGCCGGAGCCCAGGCTGGAGAAGGGGGAGCCACAGAACCTTCCCCATACTCTGCCACTTCTCATCATGGAATTTCTACCCCAAACTCTCAAGGTGCTTATACTACAGCATGCATGGGGCATTTGCCTTATTCTATAGCCATGTCCAGTTTATTCTGTGCTCTCAAAGACTGGAGCGCCATGAAGAACAGTGACTTCCTTGTTTGCTTTTATAGTCCCCACAGCACTTGTCACTGGTACAAGTAGACTCTTAAAAAGGCTAGCAGAATGAAGCTAGTCAAAAAGAAAATGAGGGGGGACATGATTGTGTCCAATGACAGACTTCCTAAGGAGTAGCAAGTTTGTGTTTGTGAGGTTGCTTAGGAGTTGATGGGACAACTGGTGAGATGGCTCAGTGGCTCAAGACTTGCCAAAAGCCTGACAACCAAAACTCAGTACATGGAACCCACATAGTGAAAGGGAGAGCCATCTCCTACAAGTTGTCCTTTGACCTCCACAGGCCCAGTGTGGCCTGTGTACATGCACCACATACACACACACAGACAGATTAAGAATGGAAGCGATGGCAGGAAAGTCGGACAAGAGCTGAAAAACACAAGCCAGCCCATGTGGCATGTGAAAAAGCATGAATGAACCATGGAGAAAAAAAGATGGCTTTGAAAACAGTACAGAAATGGGCAGTTAGGTGGATATGGAATTGTAGCCAATACTACCACTGCCTGAGAAAGAAACTATAACAGTCAGGGCTGTTGGCTTAGTCCCTATTCTATTGCTGTGAGGAGACACCATGATCAAGGTAGTTTATAAAGGAAAGCATTTAATTGGGGATTTGCTTACAGATTCAGAGTAAAGGTTAGTCTATGACATCATGGTGAGGAGCATAGTGGCAGCAGACAGGCATGGCGCTGAAGCAGCACCCAAGAGTTCATATCTAATCCACAAGTTTCAAGCAGAGAAAGAGCAAGGCTGGGCCTGGTGTGGGGTTTTGAAACCTCAAAGGCCACACCTCCTAATCCTTCCTAAACAGTCACTAACTGTGGACCAAACATTCTAATATATAAGCCTATGGGGGACATTCTCATCCAAACACGTATAGCTCCTTTGGTTGGGAATAATAGAATCCATATTAAATCAGCCTAAGAACAAGGAAAAAATGTATTGGTTCATATGAGTGGAAAGTCAAGAGTGGGAGGAGGGCTGGGGGGCATTGGCAGGTCTTGGGTATAACAAGATACAGGACTCCTCTGATGGTCTTCTGCAGATCCTCAAACTAGACGACAATGGCCATCATGCTTGGTCCTGCCAGAGTCCAGGTTCTAATGCTCACTTTCCCATAGCAAGCTAGATGTCCAGTTCTGACTGGCCAGGCCAGACCTAGTTTTAAAGTGCAGAGAGGTCTGAGCCCACAGGGGAGTGCTGTAGTAATGCAAGTCCCTGTTGGGAGCATAGGGGACCTAAGACAAGGTATTGTGTTCCTAAGTCCATTGTTCCAATGTTTTTCAGCATCTTCATGATACAGTGAAGAGGAATCTTGACAGCGCTGCCTCCCCTCAGAATGGTGATCAACAGAATGGCTATGGAGACCTATTTCCTGGGCATAAGAAAACCCGCCGGGAGGCCCCTCTGGGTGTCGGTGTGTCTGCCAATGGGCTTCCTCCTGCCTCACCCCTTGGTCAGCCTGACAAACCTCCTGGGGGTGATGCCTTGCAGTCTGGGGGGAAGCACTCCCTGGGGCTAGATTCCATCAACAAGAAGTGCCTGGCAGACTCGAGTATCCACCTGAATGGAGGCAGCAACTCCAGTGAGCCATTTCCTCTAAGCCTGAGTAAAGAACTCAAGCAAGAGCCAGTGGATGACCTGCCATGCATGATCACAGGGGCTGGAGGCTCTGTATCCCAGAGCAATCTCATGCCTGATCTCAACCTTAATGAGCAGGAGTGGAAGGAGCTCATTGAAGAGCTGAACAGGTCGGTGCCCGACGAAGACATGAAAGATCTGTTTACTGAGGACTTTGAGGAGAAGAAGGATCCAGAGCCCCCTGGGTCTGCCACACAAACCCCCTTGGCTCAGGACATTAATATTAAGACTGAGTTCTCTCCAGCAGCCTTTGAGCAGGAGCAGTTAGGTTCTCCACAAGTGAGGGCTGGGTCTGCAGGACAGACTTTTCTGGGACCTTCATCTGCCCCTGTGGGCACAGATGCTCCAAGCCTTGGGAACTCTCAGACTTTGTTTCACACCACTGGTCAACCTGGAGTGGACAATCCCAGTCCAAATCTGATGCCGGCATCAGCCCAGGCCCAGAGTGCACAAAGAGCCCTCACAAGTGTGGTATTGCCTAACCAAGGCCCAGGAGGGGCCTCAGAGCTCTCTTCTGCTCATCAGCTCCAGCAGATAGCTGCCAAGCAGAAGCGTGAGCAGATGCTGCAGAATCCACAGCAAGCTGCCCCAGCACCTGTCCCAGGCCAGCTGTCCACATGGCAGCAGGCGGGGCCCTCCCACAGTCCCTTAGATGTCCCTTATCCCATGGAGAAGCCTGCCAGCCCTCCTGGCTATAAGCAAGACTTTACCAACTCAAAACTGCTCATGATGCCAGGTGTAAACAAGAGTTCTCCTCGGCCAGGAGGCCCCTACCTCCAACCTAGCCACTCGAACCTGCTGAGTCACCAGTCACCAAATAACTTGAATCAGACCTCTGTGAATAACCAAGGCTCTGTGCTAGACTATGGCAATACAAAGCCCCTTTCTCATTACAAAGCAGACTGTGGACAAGGTGGCCCTGGGTCTGGCCAAAACAAACCAGCTTTGATGGCCTATCTGCCCCAACAGCTGCCCCATCTGAGTAATGAGCAGAACTCCTTGTTTCTGATGAAACCAAAGCCAGGAAACATGCCCTTCCGGTCACTGGTTCCACCTGGCCAGGTGAGTAGGAGCCTTTCCTTTCTGTCACTCCACTATGGGCACTGGTGAAGTCCCATACTAAGCCAGAAGTCAGTATGCAAGATAGTAGTGGGAGCAGCTGTTGGCATCTTTTGAAGTGGAAAATGTAAAAGATAGGCCAGGATTGATATGTTTTGTGTTCATTTACCCCTGGCTGGCTGCGTAGGCTTGGCTGTTCTGGACTACCTTCATAGACCTTTGTATACCAGGCTGGCCTCAAACTCATAGAGACCCACTTGTTCTGCCTCCCAGAATGCTAGGATTACAGGTGTGCGCCACCGTGTGCTACTGAGGGCTGTGTTTTGTTGATTAGTTTGGGCTTTGGGGGAAGGGGTATTGTTTGTTGTTTTGAGTTAGGGTCTCATTATGTACCCTGGCTGATCTGGAACTCACAAGTTCCACTTGCCTCTTCCTCCTAAACACTAGGACTTAAAGATGCTGCCACCACACACATAAGGGGCATTTCATGTCCAAACTACAACATTAGGGAATCAGAGGCTTGGAGTTAAGAAAGATGGAACAGTGGACAAGATATCACTGGGTGCAGCTTACCTGGCCAGATCAGGGTTGGGACAGATCACCCATACCACCTGACTTGGATCCCTTCTTCTTTGTTGACAGGAGCAGAACCCCTCCAGTGTCCCTGTACCAGCCCCGACTGCCAGCGTGGGGACTCAGCCTAGTGTGTCTGTGGCCAGCACTCATAGCAGCTCCCCATATCTCAGCAGCCAGCAGCAGGCAGCTGTGATGAAGCAGCACCAGCTGATCCTGGACCAGCAGAAGCAGCGGGAGCAGCAGCAGCAGTTTCTTCAGAGGCAGTACCTCCTGGCTGAGCAGGTAATAGGCACAGGAAACCACACAGGCACCACTTGGGCTTGTTTGCACTCAGTGTCAGTGCTGTGTCCTTTAAAATCTCCTTTTCAGCCCAGCAAAGCAGGTAAAGTGCTTGCTAGCCTGACCGAGTTCAGTCCCTGCAACCCACATACGTATGAAAGGTGAGAATCAACTCCACAAGTGGCCTTCAGCTGCCACACCCACACTGTGACAAACATACCCCAAAGTACATACATACATTCATGCATGATGATACCAGATTTTTTTTTTTTAAGAAATTGGAACCAGCTAGGCTGGAAGTCTGTTCCCAGAACCCATCAGGTGGCTGACAGCTGCCTATAACTTCAGTTCTAGGGATCTAACCACCCCTCTCACCTCTGTGGGTGCCTGCATGGATGTGGTACACATAAACTCACAGAAAAAAATCTGTGCTGGGCATAGTGGCACACACCTTTAATCCCAGCACTTGAGACGCAAAGGCAGGTGGATCTCAGAGTTTGAGGCCCACCTGGTCTACATAGTGAGACACTGTATCAAACAACAGCAACAACAACAAAAAAACCTTTGATAATACAGACCAGTGAGGTAGCTCAGAGGATGGTAGTCTGATGACCCAAGTCTGATCCAGACTCCCACAAGGTGGCAGGAGAGTACTGACTCCAGCAAGTTGTCCTCTGATCTCCATCCACACCGTGGCACACATACACACACAAGTAAATAAAAATGTTTTTCAAATTTTACTTCATTGTTTTAAAAGAATGCTAAAGTATTTTTAATACTTAAAAACAGGGCAATAGACCCCTTTCCAATGTTGTGGCAGGTGGTCTGTGGGGGCTAATGAAGGCAGTATCTTGTGGAAGGGGCATTTTCCTGTGCTTCCATCCAAGCACACAGGCCAGCAGTCACTGCATTCCTCTTTGTTGTAAACGTGGGCTGTGAGGACCCAGAGCTTGAAGTAAAGATGTCCCTAAAGTCCTGAGATCAAGAGTCAGTTCACTGTAACCCTTCACTTGGTTACCAGGGGTAGGGTGCAGACATAAGAACTGTAAGAGCCATTGGGAGGTTTAACTATGTCTTCTAATTAGGGCTTGGCATACATAGTATCTCTCAACTTGTAATCCTAGCTTTCAGGAAGCTGATATAGGAGAATTGCTTAGCTACAATAGTAAGTTTAAGGCCAGTCTGGGCTACAGTGATACTGTATCTCAAAAGTAGCAAAGAGACTAGGAAGTGGTTCACAAGCCTGAAGCCATGAGTTCATATCCCTGGAGCCCATGTAAAGTTGGATCCAGGTCTGTAACCCCAGGCTTCGAATGCAGATGGGAAGCAGTGACAGAGTCCCTGATGCTTCTGGGTCAGCAAGCCTGGCTCCAGTACTCAACAGAAAGAAACCCTGTCACAGCCAAGGAAGAAGGCAGGACCACATCCAGAGCTGTCCTCTGACACAAACCATGGCACATGCTTGCCCACACATAACAGACACACAAAGACAATACCTTGGAACCAACTCCAAGGATTACACTTTGCTGAGGCTGGACATCCACCGTCTTTTAGCTTTTGGTTTTTCAAGACAGGGTTTCTTTGTGTAGCCATTCTGAGTGCTAAAATTAAAGGTGTGTGCCGCCGCCACCAGGCCCACCATCTTTTTTAAACTAACTGCTCATTAGGATATAGCTCATGTCATGTACACTGTTTAAATAGATACACTTCAGTGGTGTCACTGTAGCTGTTGTGCAGTCACTAGCAGAACCCGTTGTTGTCACCCAGGACACTGAACATGCGCACCCTGCATGTGTGCCTGTTTGTAAGCCACACACTTGCTTGTTGTGCACCTCGCTGTTCTGCTCATTAGTTCTTGCTTCAGGCTTACATTGAATTTTACCCTTTTTCCCCCCCTTAACTGTTCCTGTTCTTGGCACTTTCTAGGAGAAGCAACAGTTTCAGCGTCATCTGACCCGCCCACCTCCCCAGTACCAAGACCCAACACAAAGCACCTTCCCACAGCAGGTTGGACAGTTCCCAGGTAAGGGAGGTAAGGGAGGTTGGGGAGGCAGCTTAGATGTAAAGGTGGCGGGAGCTCAACATGCGGTGCTGATGAATTCCTGGGTTTACTTGCTCATAGAAGCTGTGGTTTGGAGGAGAGGCCTGGATTTTTAGTTTCTTTAGTTTAGACCTTTTAGAAGGGAGTCTCCATGGTTGACTGTGAGGATGCTCATAGTTAAAACAGGCTTTTGAGACGAAATTATTACTGGGCATCCTGTGCAAGTGTGTATGTGTGTTTTGTTTTTTTGTGAGACAGGGTTTCTCTGTGTAGCCCTGGCTGTCCTGGAACTTACTGTGTAGACCAGAGATCCATCTAGACTCAGAGATCCACCTGCCTCTGCCTCCCAAATGCTGGGATTAAATCCTGCCTGGCTCATGTATAGGTCTTAATTAAGATAGTTCTTTGTAGGGCTGGAGAGCTGGCTCAGTGGTTAAGGCATTCATTGCTCTTCCAAAGGTCCTGAGTTCAGTTCCCAGCACCTACATGGTGTCTCACAGCTATCTGATGCTGTCTTCTGCTGTGCAGATGCACATGCGGACAGAGGACTCATATATAAATTACATTAAAAAACAAATCTTTGGAAAAAAAAAAAAAAAGAGCACTGCAGCAAGCTGAGTGTGTTAGTAGTGCATGCCTGTAATCCTAGCATTTGGGAGGTGGAGTGCAGAGGATCTTCAGTGCAGAGGAGTTCAACTCTTGTCTCAAAAAGAAAGCCAACAAAACTGCTTCCCAGATGGGTTTTTTCTAAGCCCCTTCATGTGGGCTTTTGCTTCTCCTTCTGTCTGCTCACTTTGGTGTCACAGGGAAGGCAGGCAGCACCCGCGCCTCCGTGTCAGCTCGGAGATGTATTGAGCGGCTGTTTGGGCAGATATTGCAGGTTACACGTCCGTAGGTGTGCTCTGGCCTGGCCCTTCGTGGTGACTGTTTCTGTGAACAGGGAGACTGACCCCAGCCATTTCTAAGAGTCTAGGTGGGGTCTCCTGGTGTGCTGGCTATGAATGTGGGATTGAAGGCTGTAGGTGTCATAGGTGTCACAGGAGCCTGTATCTGATCTGGGTTTCCAGCTCTGTTCCATGGCACACTGACACAGGCTGTTAACAGAGTGAATAGTCCATTTCCGCTCTTCCTTTTTCCTCATAACTATTTTCTTAAAGTTATTTTTATGGGCTGGAGAGAGGATGGCTCAGCGGCTAAGAGCACTTGTTCTTTTCCTAGCAACCACATGGTGGCTAGCAAGCATCTGTAATACGATCTGATGCCCTCTTCTAGTGTGCGTGAAGAAAGCATACTCATATACAGAAAACAAATAAATCTTACAAAAAAAAAAAAAAAAAAGCTGGGCCCAGTGACAGACATCTGTAATCTCAGCACTCCGGGAGGCAGAGGCAGGCCGATCTCTGAGTTTGAGGCCAGGCTGTTCTGCAGAGAGTTCAGGACAGCCCAGGCTACAGAGAAACTGTCTGGAAAAACAAACCAAAATTCAACAGTAGTTACTTTTAGCATGTCTACATTTGTGGGTATTATGCGCATGTGACACAGGTGCCCATGGAGGCCAGAGTTGTTGGACCCCTGTGGAGCTAGAGTTACTGACAGTTGTGAGCCACCCGTTACACGCAGGGTCCTCTGCAGACTCAGGCCAGAACCATCAGGCAGCAAGCTCCAGCCAGACGTGATGACAATCCCAGCATTTGGGAGACATAGGCTGGAGGATCAGGAGTTCCATCCAGGTCAGTACACAGGTCTGTATAGAGAAATCCTGTCTCCAAAAATGAGGACTGGAGAGACCTCAGTCAGTGACAAGTCTGGAAGGATGAGGACCCAGGTTGCTCCTTGGCACCCATGTAAAGCCCAGGTACAGTGGAGTGGAGTATTGTGTGTGTATGTGTGTGATCCAGGTACCACAAAAACAGGGGAAGACAGATCCCTGGAGCTTTCTAGCCAGTCAGTTTAGCTTATTCAGTGAGCTTCAAGCCAGTGAGAAACTGTCCCCCAAAACAAGCTGAACAGCTCCCGAGGAACTATGCTTCAGGTCAGCTTTTAGCTTTTACATGCACACACACACACACACACACACACACACACACGGAGGGCAGACAGCAAGTTTCCTAAAGACAAGTCTTATGCTCAGTAAATACCCAGTAATTCCATGCTAGATTTCTGCCTCCTTCAACCACTTTATATCATAAACAACAGAGTAGAAAGACATGTCTTCAGCTATAGCCTCTCCCACATTGCTACTGTGTCATCCAAGTCCCCGATGGCTACACCCCAGCGAACTAAACTGCAGTCTCAGGCTTTGCTGTCCTGGTCTTGATACACCCCAGCCTTGGCTGACTCCTTAATGTCTCATAACTTGTCACAACTGTCCTTTCACAGCCTTTTCTCCATTCCAAATGCCCTCTAAACTGTCATGTTGTCAAACCTGCATGTGGGTGCACATTTATGTGTACATAGGTGTGCGTTTGTGTATGTATTACATTCTAGTGTGTTCATGTGCATGTCTGTGCATTTGCATAGATACATACAAGTGTAATCATGTTTTGTGCACACATGTGCTTTGCTGTTGGTGGTTGAACTCAAGGTCTTCTCAGCCCTAAATTCAATTCTAAACCCATTTCTTTCTAAAACTTTCCTAAATGTTAGGCACAAGCCTTCAGACCCTTTTCTATAGCCTGCTGACCAGGCTTTTTGTGACCCTGTTGCACCATATGGTGGCTTTGCCTTCCACAGACAGATTCTGGATTATCTGTCTTGAAATCACTAGTTAGCTAGGTCCCAGCTGAGAAAAACTTTGTTGGCTACTTGTTAAATAAGTGGACAAGACAACTGGCTTTCCCCCCTGGAGCTTCACTCCATTCTGTGTCTCTGAGTACTGTCATTGTCCCACTGCCCATGAGGTGTGAGGGTTCTGACTTTCATGCCTGTGGCAGAAGATGCTCTAAGAGATACCTCTACCATGATAGTCAGACAATGCCAGCATGGGCTGAGAAGATGGCTCAACAAGTAGACGTTTACCAAGTCTGATGGCCTGAGTGTGATCCCTAGGTCCCACATGGTTGGGGGGAAGGCGCCATACTGGCTAGTTTTATGTCATCGTGACTCAAGCCAGAGACATTTGGGAAGAGGGACTCTCAATTGAGAAAATGCCTCCATAAAATTGGCCTGTAAGCTGGGTGGTGGTGGCACACGCCAGTAATTCCAGCACTCAGAGAGGCAGAGGCAGGTGGATCTCTGTGAGTTCAAGGACAGCCAAGGCTACACAGAGAAACCCTGTCAAGTGCCGCCCTCTTCCCCCCGAGAAAAACTGGTCTGTAGGCAAGCCTGTGGGGCATTTCTTAGTGATTAATGTGGGAGGGCCCAGTATACTGTGGGCGTTATTCCTGCACTGGTTGCTGTTCCTGGGTATAAAAGAAAGCTGAGTGAGCAAGCTGCATCCAGGTTCCTGCCTTGAGTTTCTGTCCTTGACTTCCCTCAACGATGGACCACAAGCTATTAAGATTAAATAAACTGTGTGCGGTGATGGACACCTTTAATATTAGCACTTGGGAGGCCAGAGTTACATAATGAGACCCTGTCTCTGGGGAGAAGAAGATGAAATAAACCTTTGCTCCCCAGGTTGCTTTTGGTCGTAATGTCTATCACAGCAATAGAAACTTTTCACCGAGACAGGAACCGACTCTGCTTGTCCTTGGACTTTCACACACTTGTTTGGCACATACGCACTTGCACCCACACACACACATGCAAAGAGAAGAACGAAGGCCAACTTGACTACTAGACTTTTCTGTTTTCTAGGACCTTCTGCTGCTGTGCCTGGCATGAACAACTTGGGTCCATCCAATTCCAACTGTCCTCGAGTGTTCCCTCAGCCTGGGACTCTGATGTCAATGGGTCCTGGACATGGCCCTGTTTCCTCTCTCCCCGCCAGCTCAGGCCAGCAGGACCGAGGAGTGTCCCAGTTTACTGGGTCCCAGAGCTTGCCTCAGAACAGCCTTTATGGCATGGCCTCTGGCCTCGCCCAGATAGTTACCCAGCCCCCACCACAGGCTACCAGCAC